TGACCAGGACTATTTAATAATTATGAATACCTCCCTTTTCCTTTGCCCCATTCTTTGCTCGTGTTTGTACTTCTGAAGACATAACATGGAAGTGGAATCTTCTGCTGTTGCTTGTACTGGGGAAGAGGCCACACAATCCCTCTGACATTATGTTCTTCCCTTTGGGCTCTAAGGCTGGCAGAGATTGCTAGGCTGCAAGGCCTGTAGCAGACAATGCCTATTTTAGTGTTGCAGCTCAGCAGCAGACAACACCTGCCAGTATAGAGTATGAACAATGCTTACATTCAGATGAAATCTTTTTTTTTTTTTTTGAGAAATATCTTGCTTACGGGTCTGAGAGTTCACATACTTCTGTCTCTGGCTGGCTTGAGGGCATGGGGTTTAATACCCAGTGCTGTGCTCTGATCGGTTGCCCCTATGCAAATGAGGTGTAGGACAATTGGCCAATCAGAGAAAAGCTGCTGAGTTACTGTTGAGACTGCAGATCTGTAAAACAGTTCTGACTCTTGCAACCTCCTCCTCCCCAACTAAGATTATGAGAAACTAGGAAGGATGGAGGCAGGGCAGTCTAATCGCTGTGGCTGAGATTTTCTGGAAACAATCTTGCATTTTCTGTAGGCTGGTTTCTACTAGCCAAGCCAGCAATGCCTTCCACTGCAAGATGTTCTGGGGGTGGAGAGGGCCTTGAACCCTAACTAATCTACAGAACCTTTTAACTAAGTCCACCCTTACTGTACCATGTAATGATAAACCTTGCCATTCCCTTCCCTGTCTCTTGATTTGGCATGCAGGGATTGAGTTGGACAGATGCAACAGGTGAAACTCAGGACAGAAAATTTATGTGTCGTCTTAGTAGAAAGGAGTGGGCATTGTGGCAAGCCCTGGGGACCAGGGGTGACCTTTGCCAGTGTCTACTACTTATGTCTTTGGATCCTAGGCTTTGCCCATGTGGCTGTGACCTGAGCATAGCAGACTAGCCTTGGCTGAGCCTCAGCCTGAAGGTCATTGCTTGGTTCTGGAACCATCTCTTGCCCACTCATTACCCCTCCACAGGCTATCCTATCTGGCAGCGCCACCTGTTTTATCTCTGGAGTCATGTTGACCCATTCCTCTATGTTTTGGGGTACCTTGATTAGTCCCCTTGCCATCCCCCCACTGGGCTAGCTTCCTAGCAGTTTTAGCAACTGAACTGCCATCTCTGGGACAGATTCTCCGGGCCTCCACCTAGGCTTGTACCTTCTTTGCTTGCCAAGCAATGAGTTAGTCAGTCACCTGCATCAATGAGGGCATCTAGCAAACAACTTGGAGTTGTACACATAGGTAAAATGCTGTGTCCAAGGAATCTTTAGAACTTTCTGGATACTAAGTGTTTTATGTGAGTGATTTCACTCTTCAGTGGGACAGAGGAACATTTTTTGTAGTATTGGGGTTTGAACTCAGGCCCTTGTGCTTGGTAGGCAAGTGTCCTACGGTTCAAGTCATTTTCCCGTCCCTCTTGGCTTTAGTTATTTTTGGAATAGGAGACTCGGGTTTATGCACAAGCGCTCAGACTACAATCCTCCTCTTTAAGCTTCCCCATGTAGCTGGAGTCAAATGCATAAAACTTTCATTTAGAAATAGTAATAGATAGACAAGTTAGCAGGTAATTTATGGAGAAAAAAAGGGAAGGAGCACAAATGTGTGAATAAATGGTAAGAAATATCTATGAAATAAGAGAAAGTAAAGGATAGTAGAGATAGTATTGCTCAAGAGTGAATGCACATATGGAAATCCAGCAACATGCTTTTTGTTTTTGTCAGTCATGGGGCCTGAACTCTGGGCCTGAGCACTGTCCCTCAGCTCTTCAGCTCAAGGCTAGTGCCCTACACTTGAGCCACAGTGCCACTTCCAGCTTTTTCTTCGTATATGATGCTGAGGAACCGAACCCAGGGCCTCATGCATATGAGGAAAGCAGTCTACCACTGAGCCACCTTCCCAGCCCCAACATATTCTTTTTATCTTCTTATTCTAGTGCTGGCTGGCCTTGAGCTCACTCACCTTTCCTTCCTTCCTTCCTTCCTTCCTTCCTTCCTTCCTTCCTTCCTTCCTTCCTTTCCTACCTTCCTTCCTTTCTCTCTCTTTGTCCCTCTCTCTCTGTCTCTCTATCTGTCTCTCTGTCTCTGTTTATATTGGGGTTTGCTATGCAAGCACTCTGTCACTTGAGCTATGCTCCAAGTCCTTTTGTGTTTAGTCTGTTTTAGAGATAGGGTATAGATAACTTTTGCTCAGTCTGGCCTCAGACAACAATCCTCCTGGCTCTGCCTCCCGAATAACTGGGATTGTAGGCAGGGCCTACCCTAATGGCTATGGCCTTTAACTTTTTTTTTTTTTTTTGGTCAGTCGTGGAGCTTGAACTCTGGGCCTGGGCGCTGCCCCTCAGCTCTTCAGCTCAAGGCTAGTGCTCTACCACTTGAGCCACAGCTCCACTTCCAGTTTTCTGTGGTTAATCGGAGATAAGAGTCTCATGGACTTTCCTGCCCGGGCTGGCTTTGAACCGCGATCCTCAGATCTCAGCCTCCTGAGTAGCTAGGACTTCAGGCGTGAGCCACCAGCGCCCGGCTTTCATGAGACTCTTATTCCCAATTAACCATCAAAAAATCAGGAGTGGAACAGTGGCCCAAATTGAAGAGTTCCAGCCTTGAGTGAAAAAGCCAAGTGAGAGATTGAGGCCCTGAGTTCAAGTCCTAATACCAATCAGAGACAGACAGACAGACAGACAGACAGAGACAGAAGACACAGAGAGATGGAAGATGGGGGGAAACAGGACAAGCACAAGGACAAGATAGAGAGAGCCAAATGTCAGTGGTCCATGCCTGTTATGCTAGCTACTCAGGAGGCTGAGATCTGAGGATCACAGTTTGAAGCCAACCTTGGCAGGAAAGTCTGTGAGACTCTTATCTCCAATTAGCTACCCCAAAGCCCAGAAGTAGAGCTGTGGTTCAAGTGATAGATAGCCTTGAGCAAAAAATGTGCTGCCAGTGCCGAGCCCCTGAGTTCAAGCTCTAGGGCTGGCACACACAAAAAAAAAAAGAAGATAAGCATGCAGATAAGTATGTGGGCTCATCTGGTAATCGGTGCAATAAGTCCTCTAACATATCAGGAATTATGGCCAACTTACAAGAAGGAAGATCAGGCTTAAATTCACTTTAGGAGGAGTACTTTCCTTGTTTCTGCCACCTGGTATATTTGTCATACTTGCTGTTAAGCTGTTCTTTTTTCTTTTTTTCTGTGTTGGTCAGGGGGCTTAAACTCTGGGTTTGGGCGCTGTCCTTCAGCTCTTCAGCTCAAGGCTAGCACTCTACCACTTGAGCCACAGTGCCACTTCCAGTTTTCTGAATGGTTTATTGGAAATAAGAGTCGCATGGACTTTCCTTCCTGAGTGTGAGCCACCAGTGCCTGGCTTTTTTTTTTTTTTTTTGTCAAATGGGTCCAGAGATTTCAAGGTAGGCATGCTGGTTGAACAAAGGGCAGATTCTGCCACACACTCCCTTCAACACAGGTTTCCATCCTTGAGATACTCATTTTAAACATGTTCTGTGCCAAGAAGAATTCTTTTCCTGGGGCTGGGAAGGTGGCTCAGTGGTAGAGCGCTTGCCTTGCATGAATGAGGCCCTGGGTTCGATTCCTCAGCACCACATAAGCAAAAAAGAAAAAAGCCAGAAGTGGCGCTGTGGCTCAAGTGGTAGAGTGCTAGCCTTGAGCTGAAGAGCTGAGGGACAGCGCCCAGGCCCAGAGTTCAGGCTCCATGACCAGACCTAAAAAAAAAAAAAAGAATTCTTTTCCCAAGTTTTTGCTTTTCTAGATATCCTTGCTCAGTTTCCATAGCATAGCATTATAATTACTTTAGGCAAATGGAAAAAGTCTAAGGGAGAGAGTTTTTCTTTTCTTCTTCTTCTTTTTTATTTTTGTTAGTCATATGGCTTGAACGCAGGGCCAGGGCACTGTCCCTGAGTTCTTTTTGCTCAAGGCTAGTGCTCTACCACTTTGAGCCACAGCACCATTTCCAGTCTTCTGGGTAGTCTATACAGTATGTAAAAGAATTGCAAGGATCAGATGGCTGAAGTCTCTGCTCAAATACATGCTTGTCCATTCCTGACCTTTCCATGTGTTATTTCTTGCTTATTTTCCAGATTGGTGTCATTCTCTGTTTATGAGCTTCTGTGGAGCAAGCTTTTTTTTTTGGGGGGGGGGGTCCCGTCGTGGGGCCTGAACTCTGGGCCTCTGGGCCTGGGCACTATCTCTCAGCTCTTCAGCTCAAGGCTAGTGCTCTACTACTTGAGCCACAGCGCCACTTCCGGCTTTTTTCTTTTTGCTTATGTGGTGCTGAGGAATCGAACCCAGGGCCTCGTGCATGCAAGGCAAGCGCTCTACCACTGAGCCACCTTCCCAGCCCGAAACCATGAATTTTCTAACTCTGCTTGACTTTCCGTTATTTTTCAACCTAGGGGCCACTACCTCTGGTCTTCCTACCCCTGTGAGAGACAGAGTGCTTTTGCTCGATTTTATCTTCATAAGAGCAAAGCCAAAGGCAAAAAGCAAATTGTGTTCCGCGGCCTAAGCCAGGCTCCGAGGACGCCTAGCAACCGTTGCCATAACAACAAGGCTGTCGTCTAGCGGAGCCTATAGGTTGGACGCCCCTCTGCATCCCAGAAGACACCGCGCTAGCTCCAAGTCTTCCGCCCCACTCCAATCCAACATGCAATGCGGCTCATAGTGTCACAAGGCGCCGTCCTTAGGGTGTTTGCTAAAATGCCTGATACCCCTCCATGTTGTTTAAACAATGTTTTTTAAACTTTCTATAACAGGTCGGCAGTGAGAAAAAAGTCAAAGTGATTTGTGTTTATAGAGGGTTTTTTTTTGGTAATTTTTTGGGGTGAAAACGCCCCCTCCCTCTCTCTCTGTCTACAGGCATATTGCTGGACAGCCCACCCCGCCGGCGCGTTGAGGGTCCTGGGGGGCCCTCCCCGGTCCGCACACGTGCAAGAGGAAGTGGCGCGGTCTGTGGCCGTCGCGTTCGTGCTCGGCCCCGCAACGTGGAGCCATGGGAGGCCTGGAAAAGAAAAAGGTGCGTTGGAGAGACGTGGGGGTCCCCAGGCAGTGACGGAGCCCCTCGCAGGACGTAAAGAGGGTCAGGGCGACGGGAGACGGCCCCGGAAGGCTCTCGAGCGTAGGGCAGCGCCAGTTACCCGTTTGGTGGAATCGGAAAACGTTGTCGCGTTCTTGCTGTTGTTGTTTTGTTTTACGCCGGTCCTGGGGCTTGAACTCAGGGCCTGGCCGCCGTCCCTGAGCTCTGTGGCTCAAAGCTCGTGTTCTGCCCCTCGAGCCCCAGCGCCACTTCCGGCTTTTTGCTAGTGACTTGGAGAAGAGTCTCACGGACGTTACTGCCGAGGTTGACTTCGAACCGCGAGCCCCAGATCTCAGCCTCCCGAATCGGATTTTGTTTTTTTTTTTTCTTTCTTTTTTCACCCCGGAGACCGGGACCCGAATATCGGACGCTTGCTTTGCTTTCTCTCATTGGCTGGCGCTTTTGAGCCACGCCTCCAACCCCCTGAGTTAAGAGTTCTTTAGGTGGGAAAAATGGTGAGACTTGGGCTACCTCATAGCGTCACCCCTCAGGCAGGAAGACGGTTAACGAATGTCACCAGTGGGTTCTAGAGTTCCACTACAGGAAGTCATCTTGGCAGAATGTTTCTCTTTTTTCTTCTTTTTTTTTTCAATTGAACCAGAAACCCTGCCCTGAGCACTGGGGATGGAAATGTAAACTATAGGAAGGGGTCCCTGCTTTCCCCGACCTCACTGGGAAGATAAGACACACAAGATAAACAGCCAAATACAATGATCACAGATTGTCAAGTGTGCTGGGGGTGGAGGTATGGCTGGCAACCACGGATACTGATGTTGACTACAGGGCATTAACTAACTTAACTGTCTGAAGATTTCTTCAAAGTGTAACATTTCAACCAAAGTCTGGAAGGGCCAAACATCTTGGGTGGGTTCTGGCACCTTAAGAGAGCTTAGATTGCCATTGGGTACTAAGGTAGGAAAAAGCTTACTTTGTACAAGGTTTTGTAAAGGCATCAACATAGCTGGGATATAATATCTAAGGGAAGAGTGTCATCTGGTTGAGGGTAGGGTTGGGCAAGGATTGTATTGTGCTAAGCCTTTTATTCCTTTTATTACTTACCTGTGTCTTTTGGCAGTATTAAACAAAGTGCATCCTGCTTTCTAGGCAAGTATTCTATCACTTGAGCCACAGCTTCAGTCCATTTTTGCTGTATTTTTCCCTTATGGACTTGTATTTTTTTTTTGTCCAGGCCAATCCTTCTAAACGCCTGCACCACACCTGGCTTGTTGGTGGAAATGTGCTCTTTTGCCTTGGCCTGGCCTCAAATTGCAGTCCTCCTGATCTTTGCCTCCCAGCTAGAAGGGATTACAGGCATGAGTCATGTATCTGGCCTAGCTTGGATTTTGTTCTAAGTGCAGCAGACATCAACCAAAATGAAATCACACCTAAAGGTGATAATGTAGAAGGATTACAGTTACAAAAGTCAGGTAAAAGTACATCTCTTTCTGGACAGTGTCCCCTTCCTTTGCTAGTTTTTCCCTTCCATCCCCACTCACAAGCTGTATGGTTTATTTTCAACATAGTGTCTAGTGAGTACCACTGCTGCATTTGTTCATCCTTTGTCCCTCCATTTGTGTTATTTCTGACCCCCCACCCCTAACTTTTTGAAAGGAGTTATTGCTGTATGGAGATCACTTTGGTGGCATGGAAAGTTGGGAGAGGACAGGAGTGAGAAAGATGTAGTTGGCTCAGGCATTTCCTTTCAACTTGAAAGATTCTGTTGCCAATTTATTTTTAACCCAGCTCACAACTGAACACGAAATCAGTGCTGACCCCTGCAGTTATAAAGATATAAAATGGAAAATGTGTCAGTGATAACACAGCATGGGCAAATTAGAAGATACTTATATTGAGAACTGAATGAAGTGCAAGAGACAGATCTACAGTTTACTGTTGTATTTGTAGGACCTAGCTTGGGCCTGATCCTAGTAACCACTAATGACTATGGGAAGGGAAAAAATGGTGTGTTTTGTATTGATAACCCATCAAGGCGTCATTTGGGTTTGACTGTAGATAACACTGGACCAGGGCCATAGACTTCTGTCTGCCTCCAGAGGAAGTGAGGTGGTTGGCATTGAGGTTTTCTGGTACAGTAAATACACTGCCACCTCCAAAGGAGACCGATGAGTGTGAAGTAGCATCTTAGCACCAATACAACCTACTTCTTGGGGTGGCTAGACACAAGGCCTTCTGTGTATTGCCCGCACAGCGCTTAGCCAAATGCTCTCAGCCTGGTAGTGGACTTGTGCTTGTTGGATGGAAAAAGGGAGAAGGTGTGGCTTAAGGCATGTATTTTCATCCCGGATGATAACACCCCTAAAGGAGCAAAGATGGGCATGGCAGTGGTTCATGGGTTTTACAAGAGCCACATTACAGAAGCAGGTCTATACTAAAGACATGGTATTAACATTTCATGGGGCTCTGTGGAAGAAAAGATGGAAGAAGTCTCCTGGTGGTGGTGAGGGAGGGGGTGTAATGGGAAATGGAGAACACTGCCTTAGTGACTGGGTGTGCAGGCTCTGTGATCAGGCCTCAATTTGAATCCAGACCAGTTCAGTTCTTTAAAAGCCATATGACTTGGGGGGGAGGGGCAGGTTTGTTCTTTTCTCCTTTGAAACAGATTCAGTGGCATCCACCTCATAGAGGGATGGGATTTGACTAAAGGAAGTGTGATAATCACTAATTGTGCCTGCTGGTGTTTGAGCTAATGCTAAGTACTTAACTCAGCACCTGGTTCTGGGCAACCTCATAGTCCCCAACATCATGTGGTTTGTTGTATGTGTTTGAGGCTGACAACTCCAGGGGTGGTGCAGGAAGGCTCTTTCAGGCAGGTCAGCTCTCTTCCTACAGTAATTCTCATTCTAGAAGTATCTTCGCCACTTAGCAGAGCAAGAGCTCCTGTGGAACTCTGCAGGCCTGCAATTTGAAGACAGTCCTTGGTAGTGTTACTGATGGAGGATTGTGTTTTTCCTTCCCAAGTATGAACGAGGCTCTGCCACCAATTACATCACCCGGAACAAAGCCCGGAAGAAGCTTCAGCTGAGCCTGGCTGACTTCAGGTGAGGTCGGAGAGGAGTAGAGAGGGGAGCTGGGGCAGCCAAGCACACATGGAATCATGGCTGCATCCCACCTTCCCTGAGCTGCCACACTGTCTGGGGTCCTGGTGCTCCTCTTTCTCTCCTGGCCTTGCTTGACTGAGCTGTCTGGTCAGGTATGGCCCCAGGGGAAGTTAGAGAACAGGATCTTTGCCACTCTCCTTCCTTCTGGTAGAAGAGGCCTCTGACTCTACACCTTGTAGAGTCAAGTCCAGACTTTTTACAGCCTGCAGGCCATGTCATCAGGCTGACTGGGACGCTGTAGCCTCCCTTGACCCACTTTTAGTCCTTCACACGTGCCAAGCTAATGATGACCTTATGGCCTTTGTGCTTGTGATGCTGTCCCTGTATGTTTTGTGTGCTTGAAATGGTGATTTCTTAGCAAGGCCTTTCCTGGCTTAAGTGCCTTCCGGTTTGTTTCCTCTCTTGCTCATCACATCTGCAGTATATGGTGGGAACCTGTGATGGGCAGACTTGAGTTAGGACAGGAGTTGCCCAAAGAAAGTCAGAGTCCCCCGCTCCCTGTACCCCGTTGCTTTCCAGCACGATAGCCAGGGTTCTTGCATTCACTTTGCAAATGGTATCTATATTCCAGACGGCTGTGCATCCTGAAGGGCATTTACCCCCATGAGCCCAAGCATAAGAAGAAAGTTAACAAGGGTTCCACGGCAGCCCGGACTTTTTACCTCATCAAAGACATCAAGTTTCTCCTCCATGAACCCATTGTCAATAAGTTCCGGGAATACAAGGTGAGCTCTTCTGTCTGGCTGCATCCCCGTTGTGCCTCTGGAACTCACTGGCACTTTGGGTAGGTTGCTTCCCTCCCAGAGCAAGCCTTCTACATCAAAAGGGGTATCTTATGACATTATCTGCTTCCAAAGCGCAAAGGGTATTATTTTAGGGGCTTTCTGGTGCCTTCTCTCCCCACAGACACAGCTTTTATTCTGGGTCTTCCTGAGGTGCCTCTCAGGAAGACCCAGAATTCCATTCCACAGCTAGAGACTATTAGTGCTCAAACACCATAGGCCAGCAGAAACCTATTTCCACCAAATGTAAATGATGAAAAGTAGACTAACAAAGTAGAATGCAGGGCTGGGAAGGTGGCTCGGTGGTAGAGTGCTTGCCTAGCATGCATGAAGCCCTTGGTTCGATTCCTCAGTACCACATAAACAGAAAAGGCAGAAGTAGCACTGTGGCTCACGGGTATAGTGCTAGCCTTGAGCAAAAGAAGCTCAGAGACAGTTCCCCAGGCCCTGAATTCAAGCCCCAGGACTGGCAAAAAGAAAAAAGGAAGGAAAGAAGGGAGAGAATACGCCTTCTGACTGGGAGCAGGGCCTGGCTGAGGAGGGGTGCCACCTGGTGGTGCACGGAAGACTAGGCAGCAACCATTGGCTGGATTTTTCAGCCACATTAAACTCCATGTTAGAAGGAGCTTCCCCATGGAGGGAGGTGGCTGTCCCTGAGCTGCCCTGTGTAATCCTAAGTGCTGTTTAAGCTGGTGAGGGGCCTTAGGGCTGGGCCTGAACAGAAGTTTTTCAAAGGAAGACATCTATTGGTTTGAAAGACTTACCCCACAGCTGGCCTCAGCTGCTTTTTTCTGGATGGCTTAGTACCACATAGAGACCCACAGCTGGTTTCCTGTGAGCAGAGAGGACTTGGGGACCAAGGCCATCCATTTGGATCCTGATTTGCCTCAATGGCAGGTCACTTGCCCCTCTTCTTCAGTAGAAAAGTGGGCTATGCTTTGCCTCCTCCCATTGTCCACCCATGAAAGGGTGCCCTAGTCTGGCTCTGATTGGGACCGTGGGTGCCTCTGGGATCCGTCATTGGCTGATGTCAGAGGGCATTGAGCTCCCTGTGAGTGCACCCATCTTCCATGGAGGAGCCGTGCTAGTAGCCCCTGGCCCAGCATTGGTGTGGTCCCTTCCTCTTTCAGGTGTTTGTCCGGAAGCTCCGGAAGGCCTATGGGAAGAGTGAGTGGAACACCGTGGAACGCCTGAAAGATAACAAGCCCAACTACAAGCTTGACCACATTGTCAAGGAGCGGTAAGCTGGGTGCCCCCCCCCCCCAAAAAAAAAAATCTGCTGCTGGTCTGTTTGTATCTGAGCTTTGTCCCAGCACTGTTACCATGAGAGGCAAACCAAGACCTTGTTCACAGAGCTCTCAGCCTTTCAGAGAAGGCAGGCCATAGTAATCGTAGCTTGCCCTGGGCTCTGAGCAGCCAGGAGGGAACTGCAGGCAATGTATTGGTTACAGTGTCAAAGGAAGTTTCTGCAGAGGGACATGTTAGAGCCAGCCAGGAAAAGCATGTTCCAAGCAACAGCAAGTACAAAGGCTCTGTGGTTGGGAGAGAACCAGTGCTCTGGGCTTCATGTGGGGTACATGTTGAGACCCTAAAGTATGTTGAGACACCCCTGCTCAGCCTTCTCGTGAGCCTCTGTTCTGCGTTGATGAAGTCAGTGATTCTTAGCCAGGGTGATCTTGCCCCTCCAGGGACAGTGTCTGGATACACTTTGGGTTCCCATAATTTAAGGAACAAGTATGTGCCGTGAGTATCTAGGGAGTGGAGGTCAGGGTTGCAGCTCAGTACTCTGTAGTGCCCAGAATAGTTCCCACAAGACAGAACAAATTGGCACCAAACCTCATTAGTGGTGAAGTCCAGAAGCCCTAGTGCTATGTCTTTTCTCTTCTGGGCTGAAGGCCCAGGCACACTCAGCTCCAGGGTGGATGGGCTTGGCTGCTTGCAGATTGGCCATGGGCCATGGACAGCTGGTGTTCTCACTCTGGTTCTGTGACCTGCAAGCTGTCCAACCACAGCCGAGTTCCTTCGCTGAGCCTGAGTGAGTCCTCAGCACTAGCAGATGATGGTGGCTCCTGTCCTGCCTGCATCTTGGGGGACAGTTAGGGAAAAAGCAAGGGCTTGGGCATCCAGGTGACACTCCTTTCCCTAGTCAGACGGGAGCTTGAGAAAGAAAGTCAAGGGGTTCAGAAATTGTGGGTGGCTTGAGGTATTGGGTTTATTGCCACACTTCTGGGGGGGACCAAGTAAAGTCCTACCCTGCCCCAGGGCTCTGGCCAGATCTCCAGTTGCCCCCCTCCTGAGTTTCTGTAGGCCTTTCATCCACTCAGGACCTGGCTACCCTCTTCTTAGTCATTGCAGTGGTTGATGCCATCTGGGTTTGGAAAGACCTTGTGCCCTGCAGAATCCTTTATGAAATTGCTGTTCTGAGAGGCTTTTGTTCAAGCCTAGTACTCTACTGCTTTGAGCCATAGTTGCACTTCTGGTTTTCTAGTGGTTAATTGGAGTTAAGAGTCTCACTGATGTTACTGCCTGGTCTGGCTTTGAACCTTGATCCTCAGATCTCAGCCTCCTAAGGAGGTAGGATTACAGGTGTGAGCCACTGGTGCCTTACAATGCTTTTTTTTTTTTTTTATTGTAAAGATACTATACAGAGGGTTACAGTTACGTGAGTGAGGTAATGAGTACACTTCCTCTTGAACACTTACAATGCTTTTTTAAAGATGGCTTCTTGGGAGGCAGTTTGGAGGGAGGGAGGCTAGAAGGCCCTGCTGTCCAACTGTGCCCAGGGCATCTCCAGGGAACTGCAACGATCCGGTCCAGCAGTGTGAAAATGAGGTTGGATGAATCTAAGGGATGGAAGTCATGGCTGAGTGTGGAACTGGAATCCATGTCATTCCTTGTGCCCACACCTCTGTCCCTTAGCTGGCAGTCTCCCAGGGTGTTTCTCTTGTCCTCATTGACCGTAGCCATCCTGGACACACGTGTTGCTCTGACTCTTCCTGGCCTAGGGCCCAGTTCTGTTGCCCTGGTTCTACTTGGTTCTGCCAACCAGAAGGGTGTGGTTAAAGTGGTCATGTGTGGCGAGGCCTAGATGCAGGTGCAGGGGCAGCAGCCCACCCTCCTCCCTGACCCACTAGGGCACCCTCCCATTTTCTACCCTAGACCTTCCGGTAGTTTACCTTCAAACATTCACACCAAATGCAAAGGGTCAAGGCCAGGGTTTGAGGCTCCCAACCCCAGGATGTCTCTGGTCCTCAGAGTTCAGCGGATGTGTCCTGTTCCTTATGACCAGCTGTGGGAAGTAGCTGCTGCTTCAGCCAGGAAGTGGCGTGGCAAGGCCTGCCTTGGGAGCAGGACCTCTGCTCTGGGGTCATCATGGGTAGGGTGGGGTGAGGAGGTCTGGCTAAGCAAGCTCATGAGTACTGCCTTTGTGCCCGGCAGGTACCCCACTTTCATTGATGCTCTGCGAGACTTGGATGATGCCCTGTCCATGTGCTTCCTCTTCTCCACCTTCCCCCGCACGGGCAAATGCCACGTGCAGACCATTCAGCTCTGCCGCCGCCTCAGTGTGGAGTTTCTGCACTATGTCATCGCTGCCCGTGCCCTGCGCAAGGTGACCTAGGAGACCCTGGGGGGTCGTCCACTTCCCTGCCACCTGGTAGTTTTCATACCTTCTCCTGTCCCCGCAGGTTTTCCTATCGATCAAAGGGATTTACTACCAGGCTGAGGTGCTGGGGCAGCCTATAGTGTGGATCACACCCTACGCCTTCTCCCATGATGTGAGTATGCCCTGAGGAGGCCACGTGGGGAGGAGGGAGGCTTGCGGGCACCAGCTTCCTGATGGTTAGGGTGGCATGGGATGGCATGAGGAATTTGCTACACAGCCAAGGAGCACCCTTGTCATGTGACTCACTATTAGGTTGTCGGGGTGATATAGATGACTTGGACACCCAGTCCTGTCAGCTCCAGCAGCCACCGTGTTCCTTCACTTGTCTATGCCTCATTTAGATCTAGGCCTTGTGAGGGTTTAAGGGAAAAGAAATCTTGAAAGTGCCTGAGCTTGGCCCTTGGAGGCCATATGATAGGGGAGCAGCTCTAGGGATGTTGAGTGGCACTGCACCCAGGCTAGTCTTGTCCTCACTCTGTCAGTAACAGTTGTAGCCAAGTGTCTTCACTCCAGCTGTCTACAGGAGAGGCTGCTGCATACTGGTCTAGTAAGTCTTTGGGGTCATGGCTCTGCCTCTTACTGATCTAAGTCTTGGGAGTGTGGCAGGGCCCCCTTGCAGAAGTCCTGGTTTGGCCTCCTTTGGAAGCACCTGACTTTTCCTGGTTTGATTGCCTTACCTGTGCACAGCCTGCGCTTGACACCACTGAGTGGGAAGTAGAACCATCCATGGAGCACAGGTGCCCTGGCCTGGCTGAGTGGTGGGCTTATTTATTGCTTGGGTTGTCAGAGCTTCAGAGCAAGCCTCTTGAGTCCCCAGACTGCTCAGGGTACAAGGGCTGCTCTGACTATCCTGAGCCCTGTGTCACTGAGCTTCTCAGTGGGTGAGACTGCAGTTTGTCTGTGCACTCCACAGTCCCTGCTCCCACTACTTGGGACAGGCTATTGGGCAGCCAGAGCCTGTGGCCCTTCTCTCTCCCCCTCCATCCCTTCTCTCCTTCCTTCCTTCCTGCCTTCCTCTCTGGCCCTCTCCAGCCTTCCCTCTGATCTCCCACCCCCATGTTCTGAGACTAGTCTTTGTCTGCCCTCCTGGGTAGTGAATAGGGCCAGTGGAAGACCAGCCTCCGCACAGCTGGCTCTGCACAAGGGGGAAGGGCACAGGCCGCCCATGCTGCTGCCAGGGCTTCCTCTATTGGGCTTCCTCTTGGCTGAGGATGTATGACTAGTCTTGGGGTGTTATAGGGGTTTTGGCCTGCTCCTTAATGGAGCAGCCAGTCTGGGTGCCTAGCAGTGGGGCCCCGGGCCTCAGGGGAAGGGATTCCTTGCCCAGGGCAATGGGAAATGATGTTGGTGTTCACCTGTCCAGGTAAAGTTTCACAGCCCAGGCCACCACCTGGCAGCAAGATGGAGCAGCCACTCAGGAGTCAAGATGGTGTGGTCTTTAGTGGTCTTGACATTCCCAGGCCTCAGCAGTGATGGCTAGGCCTCTCTGGTTTCAAAGGATAGTCCAGGTCACAGGCTTGGGACTGAGAAGGGTCACTGAAATCTGAGCCTCATCAAGTTCAGGTGTGGATGATCGAGTCCTGTCCACCATCCTGGGCTGGGCTTTTTTTTTTTTTAATTTTTTTTTGGTCAGTCATGGGGCTTGAACTCTGGGCTTGGGCACTATCCCTCAGCTCTTCAGCTCAAGGCAAATGCTCTACCACTTGAGCCACCGAGCCACTTCCAGTTTACTAGTGGTTTATTGGAGATAAGAGTCTCATGGACTTTCCTGCCCGGGCTGGCTTTGAACTGTGATCCTCAGATCTCAGCCTCCTGAGTAGCTAGGATTATAGGCGTGAGCCACCAGCATCCGGCTCTGGGCGGGGCTTTCTGAGGCCCCTTAGCCAAGGCCTGTCACCCCTCTTCTCCCTGTGGATTGTGCTGCTTCTGGCATGGTTGCCTTCCCAGCTCTGGGCAGACGTTGAATGGATAGGGGAAGGACGGCTTGGGCTGTCCCAGTCTCGGAAGGCAGCCTCTCAAAGCTGGGCTGAGACAAGGAGGGAGGAGCATGATCCGTTCCTCTTTCCTCTCACCCACATGAGGGTCTAGAGGCGCTGCTGTCCGCATACCCCAGCCCTTAAGACCCTTCTCTAGAGCCTCACTTGTGCCCAGAATGTCAGAAGTGGGACCAATGCAGCTTCAGCCCTGTGCTCACTGCTGACACACCTCCTGTGCCTCTAGCACCCGACAGATGTGGACTACAGGGTCATGGCCACTTTCACCGAGTTCTACACCACCCTGCTGGGCTTCGTCAACTTCCGCCTCTACCAGTCACTTAACCTCCACTACCCTCCAAAGGTAGGGCACCCCACCAGCACCTGGTCCTCACAGGGCCTGGGCCCAGCCCTAACCCTTGCCCCAAAGTAAAGACCCAGGGGTCTTCTTCCTTCTGACCTCTCCCCTGTCCCCTAGCTTGAGGGTCAGGTCCAAGCAGAGACAAAGGCCAGCGAGGCCACTTACGCCCTGGACTCCGAGAGCTCTATAGAGGTAAGAGGGGCTGCATCTTCTCAGGTTGGTGGTCCCTGACCCCAGCACTCTGGGGTTCTGACTCCAGTGGGAGGTGGCTTGGCCAGGAGAGGTGTCTCAAGCTCTACCCAAAGAGCCCAGACTTGTGTGTGGCTCGGAGCTGCCCCTGCTTTCTCCCCCACTGGCCATCATGCAGTCCTGCACCTCGCTTCCCCCTGTAGAAACTGGCGGCCCTCAGTGCCAGCCTGGCCCGAGTGGTGGTGCCTGCTGTGGAGGAGGAGGCCGAGGCCGATGAGTTTCCTGCTGATGGGGTGAGCACCACGTTGCCTTCCAGAGGGGCAGGATGGGGCCTGGGGGAGGCACCTGGAGGCTGCCCTTCCCCCCAACAGGGCTAGGCAGTCCTGGTGACCCCAGCCCTGACCCCTCCACAGGAGATGGCCACACAGGAGGAGGAGCGCAGGAAGGAGCTCCAGGCACAGGAAAAACACAAGAAGCTCTTTGAGGGCCTGAAGTTTTTCCTAAACCGTGAGGTCCCCCGCGAGGCCCTGGCCTTCATCATCAGGTGCTCCCACTAAGAGCTGGGCCCTGAACAGACAGGACCTGGGGTGGGGATGGGCAGGTGCATCCTGGGGAACTGAACTAAGGTTGGAGGCAGCCCGTGTGTCCAAGGGCAGAGAACTCATGCCTGGACTTACCTGGTGCTCACAGGAGTTTTGGGGGAGAAGTGTCCTGGGACAAGTCTCTGTGCATCGGGGCCACCTATGATGTCACAGACTCCTGCATCACCCACCAGATTGTCGACCGGCCTGGACAGCAAACATCTGTCATTGGCAGGTAGGCCCTGAGGCCCCTGGAGGCAGTGGGTGGGACCCCTGCTTGGATCCCTGTGACCCACCTTCACTGCCCACCTAACCAGGTACTACGTGCAGCCCCAATGGGTGTTTGATTCTGTGAACGCCCGGCTGCTCCTCCCTGTGGCTGAGTACTTCCCCGGGGTGCAGCTGCCCCCACACCTGTCACCCTTCGTGTCTGAGAAGGAGGGAGATTACATCCCACCTGAGAAGCTGAAGCTGCTGGCTCTGCAGCGGGGAGAGAGGCCAGGTGAGTGAGCTGGAGCTGGGGCAGACAGGCTCCCCTGGGTGGCCTGGGCCCGTGCTGGCCATTTCCCTTTGCTATGGGGTTGGCAGAGGTCAGGGAGGAGAGCAGGCAGCTAGCTGCCTCTGCAGTGAGAAGGGACATCTGCATTTTAGTCATGTGTTGACATTCAGGGTGACAGCAAGAATGCTTGGGGGTGGCAGCAGGGCTGAGAGCCTTGGAGTCTCCTTTGAAGGCAGCTCCCCTGAGACTCTGGGAGGGGTCGGGGGAGCCTTGGGGAAAGGGACAGTCAGAGCTGTCTCAGCAATGGCTGAAGACATTAGGGCCCAGCTTCATGCTACAAGGACAGAGTGGGTATCCAGGGTATTAAGATGTTATCTGCCATGTGTAGAACATGTAAAAGAGGAGGAAGAGGATGAGGAAGAAGAGGATGAGGAAGAAGAGGAAGACAATGAAGACGATGGTGATGAAGGGGAAGAAAATGAAGAGGAGGGGACCAGTTCCGAAAAGGAGGAAGAAGCCCAGCTGGCAGCCATGGAGGAGCAGAGGCTCGGGGGAAAGGTATGGGGTCCGGGCTGGGACCCTGCTGGGGCAGGAGCTCCTGAAAGCACAGAAGGGCTGGAGCTGTGTCCTGAGTACCTGCCCTTTGTCCCCAGAAGCCCAGAGTGATGGCGGGTACCGTGAAGCTGGAGGACAAGCAGCGGCTAGCCCAGGAGGAAGAGAGTGAGGCCAAGCGCCTGGCCATCATGATGATGAAGAAGCGGGAAAAGTACCTTTACCAAAAGATCATGTTTGGCAAGAGGCGGAAAATCCGAGAGGCAAGTTGCTGCTGTGCCTGGCAGGCCTGGGCAGCTGGGGCACTCTCTTGGTGCCTTCTTCTGGGGTCACCCCTGGGCCTTGCCTCCCACAGGGCCTCAGTCCCTTACTGCTCTCAGCTGTTCTGAGTTTAGGGTCTGGAAACCATTATCCTGGCAGACTTGAGAGGTTGCTGTTAGACTTACTCTTTTTTTTTTTTTTTTTCTGCTTCACAAGTCACATGTTTACTTAAAACCAATTATATGCCCCAGAATTCTGTAACAGATGACACATAACTGGCTCACAGCCCTGCCTTTGAGCTTGCTAGTAGTCACAACTCCCAAGGTTTTTCTTTTTTGGGGGGGGAGAAGGGGGGTCCGGTCGTGGGGCCTGAACTCTGGGTCTGGGCGCTGTCCCTCAGCTCTTCAGCTCAAGGCTAG